AAATTTAGCTTTATATTGAAACATAAATAAAAAGATACTTAATTTGTTCACCAGTTTTGCTTGCCGTGGACACATACATACGTTCGACCTTGGGAACACTAGCAGTAGTGTGTCATCACTGCAAGTTGGCCATTGGGGGGCTTCCTAAAGAAAAATTCAAGTTAGAAACAAATTTGGAGCAATTATTGATTTAACCATTTTGCATATGCTTTTGTACATAGGAGCATGAAAAAGACTCCAGTGATGAGCAGGTCAAACATCCACATCTATATATATAAAAGGCTAATATGCTAAGTGTCCAACCGTCTGACTGGTCACTATGATGCACACTGACCACCAAGGGGCAGATACTCAGTGCAGGAGCTGCCATGACATGCACTGGCCATTTAAAGAGAAATGGCACCGCAGACCTGGTGCCCACAAAGCAACACTCAGCTTCCCCCTAGTGGGACACAAGCCCCGCCACCACCCCAGAGTGACAGCCCATCAAACCGCAGCCAACACTGCTGAGACCCCATGGCGCAAAATGCAGCCCACAGCCCAACCCAGAAATGGTCGCTGTGGGCGCCGGGTAATGACATCACATAGCAACACCCAGCTTTCTCTCCCTAGTGTCTAGCCTCCTGTAGTTTCTTCAGCCCAGGAACATGACTTGCTTTATAGCCAGGTGCAAACATTTTACACTTTAACCAAATGTCTGTGAAGTGTTTTCCCATGCCTCATCTCATTTGATCCTCACAGAAGTCCTGGAGTAGGTAGATAGGAGACTTAGTGGAATCCTATTTTCTTTTCATTAGCCAGAAAGTGGAGATTTAGAAAGCTGAGAAACTTGACCCGACTGAAAAGAAGTAAGAAATGGTGGACCTTGAAAATGACTTCAGGTTTTCTCACTGTGCAGAATATAGTTAATGACTGCTGCAGTTAAATATTTTACCCTTTGTTCTCCCTGTGTGATCTACAATAATAATCTGCTTCGTGTTGATATTTACTGCTGTGTTGCTGACACTTACCTGAAAAAAAGTTGGGGTGCTTCACTGGGCTGGAAAAAGTTTAGCTAAATCAGAAAGCAGGTCTAATTAAGCAAGTTTATTCTATATCTATAAAAGGCTAAGTTGACTTACACACGCATGATACATATGAAGCTCTCGCTGGTGCCAATCGTATGTGTGTGTTTCGATCTGTCACTGTCGATTGTGAATTTGGTTGACACTTCTATTATAGAGAAAGGGTGAATAGCGATATTAAAATATTTCTTCTAATTAATTTCCTTTCAATGTGCACGAATTCATGCACTGGGCCACTAGTTGATAATAATAATTAAGGTTACTGAGTTCTTACTATGTGCCAGGCACTGTTGTAAAGCCTCCATGTGTGTTAATTGTTTAATCCTCACGTGAGCTGTGTGGGATGAATCCTGTTTTTAGCCTCACTTCAGGAGGAAACCGAGATGCAGAGGGCTGGGGTATCTTACTCCAGGTCATGCAGTGAAGAGGTGGTGGAGCCTGAATCTGAAGTTACTCTGCAGAAGCCACGCCCTTACTCATCTCTCTAGGGCCTGCTGTAGAAGCATTGTGCTGTCACCACCACATCTGGGGGGAGTAGGTTCCTGTTCCCACAATTAACTTTCTGACTCCCATATTCCCCACCTGCTTCCCACCCACTGTGACTGGCAGTTCCACAGCTCCCTGGCCTTTCCTAAGCCTTGTGCCTGCTCCCCACACTCCCCATTGCCCCCAGCATGAAGACTCTTGGAGCTGGTCTACACCCCACCTGCCTGGTCCCAGGTCATCTCTGGCCATTCACCCACACTCATTCTCCTGTGCCAGTCCCACTCAATTTACTTCCATCCCTCGACTCTATCTGCCAAAAGCTTTCTTTCTGGAGGGCCTGTTCATGAACTGTTGCAGTAGCAACCACGGCCTGACAACAGTACCTCAGCACCTGGCCCTGCTGGCTTTCATCAAGCTGACCTCTCTTCGTCTTGCATGTTCTTAACGTGAAGGGCACTTCATCTAGGAGGCCTTCCCTAACCTCCAAGTCTTTGCAAGGTTTCCCTCCTGTGCTTTCCAGAGCACCATCACGTCCTCATCCTGCCTGCTGACTAGATCCCTCTTCAGGTGATAGCCCCATACAGATAGGGGTCATAGCTGATGTGTTCTAGCTTGTTCTCCCAGTACTCATCACAGTGCATGGTACATAGGAGGTGCTCAATAAGTGATGAATGAGCAGTATCACAACAGTCACAATTCATAGTAGTAACAACAAGCTTCAGGGATATGCTCCCCAAGGCAGCGTCAGAGCTGTGACTGCAGACCTGGGCGCTCATGCTGCACCCTCCCTGGCGGGCGTGTTCCTGCTTTGAAGCGCTTCAGCATCATGCACGTCTCAGTGGGACTCAGGCGGCTGCCCTTCAGGTCTGCTGGCTCAGCCCTTTCCCTGCTTTAGCTGTTACACCTCCAGGAAAGGCTTCCTTCACTGGCTCTTACAGGTCTGGAGCTGCACAGGTCTGGAGCTGCACTGGCTCTTACAGGTCTGGAGTTACCAAGGACACTTGGTGGGTTTGAATGCTGAGAGCAGGGCCTCTTTGGCTTCCTTGCCTTTACACTCTGTGGCGTTCCTCAGGGAGCAGCAGCTTCAACCTAAGCAGCCCCGAGCCAGCAGCATCTCGAAGGGAACACTCTTCTGGGGTCTGACCAGCTGCTGGCATAAAGGAAAACCTCTCCCTTCAGTGGCAGCTTCTCACTCCCTGCAAATATAAAAATGTCCCTCCTTCTGGTCTCCCAGGTTGCCGTGTGCAGTGGCAGCACATGCTCCCTCGGGAGTCAGGGGAGGGACCATTAGAGCAGCTCCAGGGACTGGCCTTGTCATGCACTTCTGTGATGACCAGGACTCAGCCCTGCCAGCCCAGGACTCTTAGGCCAGAAACAGGACTTTTCTCTGGTTAGCCCACAAAGGTTGAGTTTTTCAACTCTCCCAAGGGGAAATAACAAGATCAATTCAGTGTTGTCTGTGACAAGAGCCTGAGAAATTCATATAAAGTTGCTTTTACACTTTCGTTGTATTCTAGTTCATGTTCCCAATTCAAGATTATGCATGTAATTAGTTATAACTGTAATTGGGATGTGCATTTTTGTTTGAGGAAAAAAAGGAAGACCGTAGTTAACAGTAGGCATGTTAACTATCTCCTTTGGGGTTAATTAGCATTTAAAATTATTTATCTAAGTCTTCTGATTCCCACCTGGGATTTTACTCAAGGATGTCTCTAGGTGTCTTAAGGATCTTGCCAAATTCTTAGAAAGTTGACTTAAAAACATACACTGTAGAGTATTTTTATGAGGAGAGAGGAAATGAACAAAGATTAAGTGATTAAATGGTGGTGTAATTATAAAATGATTAAGGATTATTGATTAAATAGTCCCTAGGTTATTTGGTTAATTGACTTTAAAGCATTTATTAAGTATATACTGAGTGTAAGAAACCATGCAGTTTCAGCAGTGTAGACACGTCACCTCTTGATGCAGTGTTTCCATGATGGCTTTTCATTACCACCTTATGCTGGAGCTTAAACTCTCCAAGACAGGCCTCTGTTTTGTTCTTAGTATAGGGTGGGGCAAAAGTAGGTTTACATTTGTTCATATGGAAAATAATACAAAAATAAGTTCTATGTTTTCCATACTCACAATTGTAAGCCTACTTTTGCCCATACTGTATAACATGCACCAGGCCTAAAATAAACATTTATTGAATAAATTATAGTTACCCCCTTCAATACATTTGCAGTCTGGTTAAATTCTAGTAAGGACTGCTGCCCTGGCTGGGTGGCTCAGTTCCTGGGAGTATCATCCCTTACACCAAAAGGTTGAAGGTTTGATTCCCAGTCAGGGCACTTACCTAGGTTGCGGATTTGATTTCCAGTCAGGGCATGTTACCAGAGGCAACAGATAGATATTTCTCTCTGACATCAATGTCTGTCTCTCCCTTCCTCTCTCTAAAATCAATAAAACATATCTTACCTAGGTTGCAGATTTGATTTCCAGTCAGGGCATGTTACCGGAGACAACAGATCCATATTTCTCTTTGACATCAATGTCTGTCTCTCTGTCCCTTTCTCTCTCTAAAATCAATAAAACATATCCTTGGGTGGGGATTTTTTTAAAAATGTTTTAAATAAGATTTGCTTCTTTTTCAGAAATTTGTTGACTTCGGTCTGGACAAGCTCCTCATTATTTCCCCAGCAGATAGTTCTGACTACCAAGAGCAGGGACCTACACGCCTGTTACAGCTGCTTAACAGTGTAGCGTACATTAATGTGTTATTTCAGCCTTCAATGAGAATTGAAAGATGTAGGTTAATTGTCCACTTAACCAACTTTTTTTTTTTAAGTGAGGATTTTAGGAGAGGATAAAATTTGCGTAGACTGCAGCTGGATGAAAGCTGAATGTTTTTGCTATGAATATCTGGATCAAACAGAAAATAGATAGCTGATAAATTTTAATCGAGGGAGGTTTTAATTACCCCTGTGGGTGCATATTATGGTCTCGCTTTTCATAGTAGCTTTGCCTATGTCAGGGGACATAGGTAAAATGGTCCATCCTCTCTAAATCCCTTACAACTAACTAGACCTTCTATTGTATATGTCAGTGACTGGTATTGAGAGATGAAAACAAACCCAAGAAATGCAGAGGGGCCGCCATCATTTGGCTCTGCTGCTGTCACAGAGGGGGAATTTTTTTAATGCTCATTTCAGCCCTCAAAGGTAAAATGTGCAGCCACCATTTAAAGAAAACATAATGTGAGTAAACGGGGTTGCTTGGAGGCCAATGTCCCCCTGAGGCTGCGCATCTCTGAAAAGATGGAAGTCAGTAGTAAAATATGACATATTCACATTTTCACTTTACTTTCAGCTTTTCAGGAGCAGGTCCTGCATGGAGAGCAAGAATGGAGCTGTATTTCAACCAAAGGCGGTTTCAACCTGTGCTGACTGTAATTTTTATCCATAGGTTTGAAGACATACCTGATAGCGGGTAAGAGAGCGAAGGAGTCTCATTGCACCTGTTCAGAGGCCTTGCTTTCTGGCTTTGAGGTCATTGACGGCTCACAGGTGTCCTCGGGTCCTAGGGGACAGGGGACAGCATCACCAGGGAGTGTCAGTGACTTGGCGCAGACTGTCAAAACCTTTGATAACCTTAAGGTTAGTTTTTTTTCCTACTTTTAAATTTTATAATAATCTGTAGTACAACATGTAAAATAATAAACAGCCTTTGGGTCTGTTGCAGATGACTTGGGATGCCCTTCAATTTGGTTTTGTGATTTTTTTTTCATGTAGTATAAAAGAAGCAGCATTTTGCATTTTTAATCTTTTCTTTTTTGACATATTCTGCACTTCCATTTTCTTTCTGCATTGCATAAAGATGCTTCTCGCTTGAGTTATTATTTCCTTTTTCTGCGACCTATGATGTCTTCGGGGATTTCTAAAAGCTAATGATAAATGATAGTGAAGGTGATTCTCCTCACGTTTTGCTGGAGAGCTAGTTGGTCTCTTATTTCAGAGACCACTTTCTCAAGTATTTCTGTGTCTCCTGAAATCGAATGTTTTCTAATTATTTTACATTTTTTTGGTGTGGGTGAACCTTATGATGTAGCTAGCTGAAGGAGTGCAGGCTTGCCAAGAACATTATAGTATTTCATTATTGGAACAGAGATGTCCTGGTGGCTGTCGAGAAGTACCCACTTCTGTCACAGTGAACTAAGGAATTAATGTGATGGACCTTGGGCACATGAACTCGGCCTAGGTTATGAGCTGGTCCTCAATTTTCACATTTGACTTAGTTCTCTTACTTGTACCTCTTGTTTATTTTTACAGTGTAAGTATTTGCCATTTCCATATTTTTTTTAAAAAAGAGACAGTTAAGTCCTAACCGGTTTGGCTCAGTGGATAGAGCATCGGCCTGCGGACTGAAGGGTCCCAGGTTCGATTCTGGTCAAGGGCATGTACCTTGGTTGCAGGCACATCCCCAGTAGGGGGTGTGCAGGAGGCAGCTGATTGATGTTTCTCTCTTATGGATGTTTCCAACTCTCTATCCCTCTCCCTTCCTCTCTGTAAACAATCAATAAAATATATATTTTTTTAAAAAGAGAGAGACCGTTAAAACATATATCCACTTTACTGTTTTGTGCTCTCAAATATTAACCTTAATGATATATTGGTCAGGATGATGGCCTCTTGTTATGGCTTTAATCCAGTCTGTTCCTTCTTATCCACATTCATTAACAGGTTTGAAATCTATCTATGTTGGCATTTAAGCCTAACAGGCACCACACTGTGACAACCAGCTGGATTATCCAGATTATTTCCCTGTGTCAGAATCCACCAGTTACTTTGTGTGATTATTACATTCAGGTTTATTGACAGCACTCCTATATCATTTCATTGTGTGCTTTGTTAACTTAGTGCAGGGTTTCTCAGCCTCAACACTATCAACATTTTGGGCCAGATAACTGTGACAGAGGCTGTCCTGTGCACTGTGAAATGTTGAACAGCGTCCCTGGCTTCTACCCACTAGGTGCCTGAGCTCCCCTCCTTTCATGGTGACAACTAAGACTGTCTCCAGCCATTGGCCAATGTCCTTGAGGGGGCGGAAGGGGGGGTAAAATCACCCCAGCTATAGAGTCAGTAAGGTAGGTATTAGATCTTGTCTTCTCCATACTCTCTGTGACACATGCATAACAGCTAATGTATCTGAAATTTCCTTGATGCCTGTGCACTTTCAAAACAGCCTCTTTGCTGGCTGACGTCGTGCAGCAGTCAGAAAGGCGCTCTGGGTGCATCGAGTGTCAGTGAGTGTGGCAGGGAAGAGTCACGTCAGGGAGGAGCATAAGTACGGTTTCGTTATCTGGGGAGAAGCAGTTTCCTCCAGGCTTCAACCTGAACTGTATTTAAGTAAACAAATAGAGCTCAAAGCCAAAATAAGTGATTTGTTGTATTTGCTGCCATTTTAGATTTTGTGCATGTGAGTTTCAATCCATTAGGGAGTGCATTTGCTGACTTTGATTTTTAAAAAAAAATCTGGGTGGACAAAAACAAGATATTTAACATATTCTATTACCTTGTATAAGTTTTCCAAGTCATGATTGAAAGTTTTCTGAAAATCTTGTGATCTATTAAAGTTGACCATGTTTGCCAAAGGAATTTGAACAACAACAAAAAAAAAATCTTCGGGCACCTTCCGAAGGGATAGATGAATTGGATCTTGAAATATAATTTCTGGGGTATTTTGATGGTGTTGCCGGGGTGTGGGGGAGGGGTGGAATCATAGGACACCATGACTAGGGTTGTCCCAGAAAGTTAGAATTACAGTTGGAGTGGAAGGAGCAGGAAGAGATAGAAGACCTGGTCTTCTCTTCAGGCTTCACTTTGGGAAGTCTTGCCTTCTCTGCTTCTAGTGCCTGAGGTGAGGATCAGGTGAGAGCAGGCGTCTGTGAGTGCTTTATAAATTACTAGAAGCCTGGTGCACAGTGGGGTCTCTCGGCCTGGCCTGCGCCCTCTCACAATCCGGGACCCCTTGGGGGATGTCAGATAGCAGATCCAGACAGGAGGGAGCCCGATCCTGTGCGTTGAGCATCTGTCCCCTGGTGGTCAGTGTGCGTCATAGTGACTGGTCGTTTGGTCACTTAGGCTTTTATATATATAGTCTAGAGGCCGGGTGCATGATTCGTGCACCAGTGGGGTCCCTCAGCCTGGCCTGCGGGATTGGGCTGAAACCAGCTCTCTGACATCCCCCAAGGGGTCTTGGGTTGCAGAGGGTGCAGGCCAGGCCGAGCGACCCCACCGGTGCATGATTGGGGCTGGGGAGGGACACAGGAGGTTGGCCAGCGGGGAGGGACTGCAGGCGGGCTCCAGGGCATGTCTGGCCCATCTCACTCAGTCCCAATCATCCGGACCCCAGCAGTAAGCTAACATACCAGTTGGAGTGTCTGCCCCCTGGTGGTCAGTGCATGTCGTAGTGATTGGTTGAACAGACGACTGGACGGTCGGACACTTAGCATATTAGGCTTTTATTATCCTATATAATAAAAGCATAATATGCAAATTAACCAAACTGAGGAATGACCAGTTGGCAGAGGGGCGGGGCCAGCAAGCAGGTGGTGCCAGGCCAGCCAAGGACACTTAGATTAGGTTTTTATTATCCTATATAATAAAAGCATAATATGCAAATTGATCAAACTGAGGAATGACCAGTTGGCAGAGGGGCGGGGCCAGCAAGCAGGTGGTGCCAGGCCAGCCAAGGTGCATGCCACTGGGCAGAGGGAGGGGACAGGTGATGGGGGGATGAGTTGGCAGTGACCAGCAGTAGCGGAGGGGCAATTGGGGGAGCAGGGCCGGCCGCTCACCAGCCGGCACCGTCTCCTGCTCAGCCCGCCCGGTCACCTCCCACAGAGGGAGGCCACTGGCGGTGGTGGTGGGGTAATGGGGGGCGGGGCTGGCTGCTCGCCAGCTGGCACCGTACCCTGGTCAGCCCGCCCGGTCGCCTCCCGCAGAAGGAGGCCAGACTGCAGCTTAGGCCTGCTCCCTCCCTGCCCCCCGCCCCCGGGGATTGGGCCTAAGCTGTCAGCTAGACATCCCCTGAGAGCTCCTGGACTGCGAGAGGGCGCAGGCTGGGCTGAGGGACCCCCCTGAGTGCATGAATTTTTGTGCACCGGGCCTCTAGTATAGGATAAGCACTGAGTAACTAAGGGAATCAATATGAGCTATTAGCCTAAACTTGAAAGGCGGAAAATTGAGGTCTGCCTTAAAGATTATATAGATTATAATCTGACGTATAAGACGATTCCCTGAAGTAACAGTTTCTAAACAATAGAAATGTGAAATACCAGTTGCTTGCACATTCATTTTTTGAGAAGGTTTTTCCTCTAAACTTGTTACTGCCTCACACATATGTCATTGACTTGTTGCCTTATATTGTCTGTACTATGGTTAGATCTTCTCATTAGCTGGAATCACAGACTAGCTCCTCCTAATCCTTTTTCGGGGTCTGTTGACTCTTCCTGCCAACAGGCTTTGATCTCCTGTCACCTCATCTGGCCAGAGTTAGCTCTCATGTAGGTTTGTCACAGACCCCACATTTTCCTCCTACTTTGGTGTAAGGCAGTGTTTCCTCTGTGTTCCCTTGAGCAGTACTTTCTCTGGATGGAAATAGGTGTCAAGTGTAAAAAAAGTGTTCTGTGGTCAGGTAAATTTGGGAAGTTCCAGGTTAAACAACATTGAAAAGGTTTCTTTACTGCGGGACTTCTCAGTGCCTTTAGTATGCTAATATGCATACAGTACTTCTGTCTCCAGAGATGGATGTGGTATGCAGCATTCTCAGGCCTCGTTGACCACAGATTTCTTTTTTTAAGCTGCACCTTTTGGAGAAATGCTTGTCTAGTGGAAGGAGTTTCATGCAAGAAACAAGAAATTAGAGGAAAGGTGTTCAGTAAATATTCATCAAATGAATACCTGCAATCTTGGTCCTGTTGGTCCTCTTACCTGCAGTGCTCATCACTTCCCTTTCCCTAAAAACTCCTCTTTTCCTTTCATGGGTCACCTTCATTGCAGTTTTTTATGACTCCTCTACCTAATAATGCTATATAACATTATAGCTACAAAATACACAATATTTATGTTTTTGTTATACGCCTTCCTGTGAATTCTTTGAATGCAGGCAGGGCCCATGTGTTTAAAAAAACTTACATTTTCCCCAGTGTCCAGCATAATGCCTGTAGTAGATAATGTAGTAGATAATGACCATTTTCTTTTGGCTTAAATTTTTAATTCTTAAGTGACACACAGGAAGATAGAACTCTGTAGAGGTAGCCTAGAAGGCCTAAACTGAGAAGCTTGAGCAGAACTAAGTAGAACCAAGCTAATGTCTAGGAGTCATTTGTTTTCCCTCCTGGCACACCTGTGTTATGTGTCAGTAAGTTATTTCTCAGTACATAGCTGGGGAATTCTTATCTAATATTTCATAAAATAGTCTGAGTATTATGATGTCCTACCAAGAAACTGTAATCATGTCAAAGGACAAGGGCTTTGGTCCTGAGGTCATAGGTCAGAGAGAACCCTCTCACAACCAAGCATTGGCTTCTTGAGTGACTGGTAGTGAAAGTTTTTCATCAGGAAGCCTTAGCATTGCAAAATGGGGGGCTGTGAGG